TGGGTGCGAGAGGTGACATCAATTGCCTGCATGACCAGCGTGTCTTGAACACTACATGTGGAGGCCGCTGTGAAGCAAGCACCAGCACGCTCTCGGGAAGCGAAGCTTGCTAATTTGTACTCGAGGTATGAAATAAAAGAGAAAGGAAAGTAACAACTTCTACGTACGGCATTCTATGAACCTCGCCATAATTGTTCTGTTATTATATTATTTTCTTCAACTCTTCACGAGGTTTGTATACAAGCTTTATTGGACTGACGTTTCGGCGGAGTTGCCTTCTTCAGAGCCTGGAAAAATCATGACATTTTATGAGTATGCGATCAAACGACTCCACTGCCACACCGAAGTTCGAGACCCCCAGGGCACAGAGGTGATTAAAGGAGAACCGTCACTCACCACGGGGGATTCTTCGTAAACAACAACCGTTGGTAACAATAGACCATGTCGGCTGGGGTAGGTCTTCATTCATAGTCCCTGCGAGAAGGCCATCTTTATATAAGATCGCAGCTCCCGCGTAATTGCGAGGCATTCTTCCCTACGATTCATTTTTGGATCGTGACTTGTATCCAAAATGCCTCGAGGAATTCACGCGCGCATAATTGCGATTCCTGTGCCACGACCTCCACCTTCAGAAACGTCTCCGTTGTGCCTCTGAGTTCGGTGACTCCCTAAGACAGTGGACTTTTTCAGTCGCTTTATACCATCTACCTTCCGAACCAGGCACTTTTTGAACCTGTTCCACACCAGGCGCTTCTTTAGATTGAAGGGTGTTACGGTAGTACAGAAAACTCAGCAACAAAAATATCGTTGTCCATTAACACTCAGCTCTTCCTTTTTACGTAAAGCGAGCGGTTTTTAGGAACTTTTCTGCTTCTCTAAGAAGGTTTGCACTGGAGAGGATGAGCGGAAAGAGTCGATTAAAATGGCATGCAATATTGCTCAGATGAAGGGCTACTGCAACTTCTCGACTACACGAAGAGCTTCTCTTGACGACATGATCCTCAGAAATGTAGTACCTCGATAAATGAGGAGATTTCTCTTGTACTATCATTTATCTCTGGTGACAGGAAGTGTCTACACAGATCGGGTTTGGAAAATGCTGCTGCCCTTATAGACGTACCACCTTTCAATCTAAGGAAGCGCCTGGTTTGGAACATGCTATACGATCACCTATGTACAACCTCAAACTGTGTGGTCTGCCGAGCTGGCAAGGAGGGTGATTGCACTATGTTAGGGGTGGTCTACAAGATAATTTGTCGTGATGTGGTGATGAGTATATTGGCGAAACGGCAAGACCACTCCACGTGAGGATCAAGGAGCACATAGATGGTGTGAAACGATTGAAAGAGTCCATTGCTTTAGGAACCGCGCGTGAAACCCTCGAGGCATTTTGGATACAAGTCACGATCCAAAAATGAATCGTAGGGGAAAATGCCTCGCAATCACGCGAGAGCTGCGACCTTTCATAAAGTTGGTCTTTCCGCAGGGACTTTGAATGAAGACTTAATCCAGCTGACACCGGTCGATTGTTACCATCGGTTATTGGTTTCGAAGGATCCACAAAGCTACGGGGTCCTCAAACTTTAGTATGGCAATGGAGACGTTTGATCGAATAGTTTCGAATTGCCATGAACTTTCCGGGCTTTGAAGAAAGCGACTCCGCCGAAACGTCAGCCTAATAAAGCCGTATACAAACTTCGTGAAGAGTTAAAGGCACAGTTCACCATAATTTTGGGTAATCCAGGTCTTGATGCAAAATGGAGGACAAGATCAAAAATAGTGCGATAAAGGTGAAGAAACTGCGTGAATCGGTGTTAACAAAATGAAAAAAAGGCTTCTAAAATCTGCTAAAAAGGGAGCTGGACGAGAATGAGAGCAGTAAAATGAAGAAGAGGGGGGCGTTCGGATACACAATGTGTCTCACTGCGTGCGTGTTGCGAATAACAGGCTATGGTGGAAATTCATTAACTTACAAGCTTAAGTAAACAAAAAAAGAACCTAGTATCAGCAAAAGTAGCTCACCTTCTCCAGCCTCTAGGAGTAGGAAATCAAATAAAGGATCGCGGCAGCAAACAGAATAACAGAGGAAAAAAGGATGGGAGGAAAACACCGCCTCATCATTCGGCGACCAGCTGATTGTTGGTTCTAGAACGAATAGTTGCAATCTGAATTGTCTCGACACTTGTCTGACGTGTTGACGTGACATCGATCGAGGGGCGGGAAAGCCATTGACGTTCCCGCCCATTGAGTTATCGTGAAGCATGTCTTTAAAGAAAACAATCCAGTAACGGAGCAATACAGTAAAGTGTTGGGGCGTTAATCAGTCGCGTCTTAGATATGCCTCCACGCCTTCAACTTCCATACAGAATCGTAGTGGAGAATTGAATGCGTATGCGGCCTACACAACGACTTGCGATGACTAGCTGAACAAACTTTCAAGCCAGTGCTTTTATCCTCCCAGACAAATCTGTTACTAAGTAACCGATTTCAGAGGAATGGAAGGACTAGGCGGATATCTATGAGCGGTACGAAACCGTGGCCATGTGTGTGTGAAGCGTGCCTCTTGCTACCACCTCCGCCCCGGATTTGGAACATCATTCAATATTTCATGGGTGAAAGAAGGAGGAGACCAGAACACTTACTCCATGAAGATTGTCATCAATCGCGTCATATCGCTCGAAAACATCCGAGAAAGCATTGTTCCAGTGCTAATAGTATGACACGATGAAATTTTCTATTGAGATTCAGAGGGGTGATTGCTGAGCTGGTATTGCTAAAGGCCACCGCTAGGTCAGCAACAACTCCAGATCGATCAGGCTCGATCACTCACATTGACGCTTTATGGTCATGAAACAGTACACGTTGAGTTTTATTGAGTTTTAAGATAAACGATGACATGATTACCCTCACGGCGCTACTTCTTAACAAACGACGGGCTACTGGTCGCCAGTGATCACGGATCGCCCCAAAGCCAGCAGCAACTTCTCTACTCCATCATACTGCATATGAGGCACGGGCAATTCACACAGCCTTCAGGGTGGATTTGGAACAGTCAAGAAGAGGAGGCTCAAATATACTCTTACTGTAATTGTAGGAGGCGTTTCGAATTCACAGCCTTGAGGTGAGCGATTTACAGCAAAGTTTGCCTCATCTTCAACGATCTGAGATATTGTGATCATCCTCCCGCCACAGCAAATATGAGCTTCCATGCATTGGGAGCATCATCGACATTGCTTTCGCCTACCACGTCACATAATGTATTAGGTTGTTGCATAATTATTGCGGATTTTTTTCAACAAATTTTATTTACGAAACGATAAAAATACTGAGCAAAAACATGTTCAGATAGTTACTCCAAAACTTATCCAGCATCTACGTCAAGCACTGTTTCCAATTGGCTAGATAGTCGGATTCCAAAAGCGAGGATCCCATTTAGGGGCGATCCACGCCTTGACATCGGCCATCAAGTCATCCAAATCGACGTAAGTTCTATTCCCTAGTCATTTTTCCAGCGAACGGTCGACTGCTGGTGAGTATGACAGATTTAGGAGCAGATCCCATTTCTTCGTTGGCTTTGGCTGGTTGTTCCATCGCCAAAAAGTTACTGAGATAGCGGAATGATTCTGCCGCCTTCCAACTTTTATCGAAGTAATAGAGCCTAATTTCGCGAATAGTGGATGGTTTTCTAGATACACTTTTGTAGAGGCAATCAAGGAGATTATTCCTAGGAAAGACCCGAACTCAATATGCAAATTTTGTCGAGAGAAAAAAACCGCGAAAAAATCCGCAGTAAAAATCATTAACCTGATAATTGCAGAGATAAAATGGTAATTGAAGATGGATGTAATTGTAACGATTCTACGCTGGCTTTTAGGAAATGGTTGATATTTTCAATATGGAAGAGAAAAAACAATACGAACGCAGTTCTTTCTGATGACTCTCCAAAAATACCTTTTAAAAAAGTGTTTTGACGATTTCTTCTTCGCCTCTACCACGATATTATGCCTCTACATTAAAATAATGCTAATTTTATCTTGTTGCCCTTTTTTTCACGGGTAACCTTCCAACGTGGACTCCCCGTGAGAGCAGATGTGTATTTTTTTATTTATTTATTTATGCGCTCTATGACGCGCCAGCTACACCAGACAGTGTATAGTGGCAAGTGGCGCACACTCGCACGAATGGTCAGAGTTTTGAATCCCGGATCCTTGTCTTTCTCCCTAGGGCAAACTAAGCTTTGTGTTGTGTCTCTCCAGTACCTTTCACTGGTCCCAGCCTCGTCTGAGAGGATAAAAGAACAGATCTGTACAACACCGCTAGTCACTGTGCAGATCATATACACATTCAAACGCCACTAAAATCCTGAAGAGAAGCCGAATGCGGTGGCGCATCCTGGAACGGGATTGATTGACTCCAAATGAACAGTTCAAGTTTTGTTTAGTTGAGCACATGTACAGTGATCCCAACAAATTTCTCCTCTCGTGACTATAGCTATGGTGGGTTGAACTTTTCATCATTACCCACCGAACTTTGCTTATAATCTGAGGAATTCGTTTGAAAAAGATTTCCCCCTGGAATAGTCAATACACACAGAAATTCGAGCGCCTACGATGCGAACATCGAACTGAAGGGTATAGTGGGTGCGTTAGTGAATGTGCATGTGTACGTATATGCAAATAGTAAGTTTATGCGTATGTGTTCGGAAAACGAGGAAATGGGGATTGTGATATGGTTCCAGTTGTTGATCAATAATTTATTCAACGAACAGTTGAGTTCAACAGTTCCAGCAACAATTGGGCAAACGATTAATGGAAGAGCTCTTAATGGATAATCACACTTACAATATCAAATACCATATTACTAAACATGGGAGAGTATGCTCCAGAGAAAGGAACAATGAAGGTATTCACTATTGACTAGAATTGTGAAATCTTCAATAAAAATCATTTTTGAGCCTTTGAGAATGCATGAAACTTTCGATCTGTTTCTCCAAATTGAAGTCATGATGATTTTGGGTACATGAAAGCACCTGAGATAGAGAGCATTGAGTACAAGAATATGGCAAAATTACTTACACCCCTGTTGCCTTTCTCACATGAACGTTTGAACTTTTGAACTTGTATTACCTACGTTTTATCTAGAAGGGACTGAAGGTTCTGAAATATTTTCGAGAATTCTGGGGAATCTCAAATAAAAATTTCTTTAATTGAATATTAGCTCATCATGAAGCTTAATCTGTACCACCGGATACATAAAAGTAGGCGTGAGCTCAAGTTTTTCAGGATGGAACCGAGTAAAGTGGCAGCAGTGGTAAAAAGCAAAACTCAGCAACAAGACTGCTCACTTCATTGTAGACTTTCGCGGGCTTGATCAATATGCATTCATTGAAATATTGTTCAAAGCGATGCTTTTGCTGAAATCGTGAGAATAATTCTTATCATTGCTGTAGTAGTTCTACAAAAGGATGGGTTCAATTAGTGGGACCCCTGATTTGTTACATGCTGAGATGGGTGAGCCTTTGCTATGGCTTCATCACTAAATAAAAAACAACGTAATTTAGAAGCGGGTTCAACTTAATATTCCATTTGAAGGCAAAGTCCACGATAAAAATGGTTCCTGAGATTTCCCCAAAGGATGAATTCGAGGCCCTCCTGATACCATATGTGCCTGTTTCAGGTCGAGAAATTCCCTGGATAGGGCACAATAATGGGCCAGACATTGTATCGTGTGAATGCCACACTCACAGCGGACGAGCCTCAACGGTCTTGTAGAGGCTGCACTATGTTGGAAGTTCAGACAACTTGTCAAGACCCACGGCGACAGTGGAAGGCAGTTTCAGAGAATTTTGAATGGTGTAGTCAGCTTTTTACGCACTTGTAACGACTGAAATCTCGTACAAAAACTCCTTCCATGTCATTTCCGTCATGGTAATCTCGTGAAATCTCTATTTCTTCTGCTTTTGATCTGCTTTATTTTCTCGAGTTCGACGGATTCTTTCATTTTCTTCGCCACCGATGCACCATTTCATACAAAACTTCCGTTTCAAGTTTAGAAAGAAGACCTTGAAGTTATCACTAACGGTGCCTCTCATACAACAAAGAAATTCATGAGAGCTTGGAAAAATTGCTTTGCTTTCTTTTGGATTGGCAAAGCTATAATAATTACATCAATTTTATCATCTGCTGCCCAGTTGATCATCGATTTCTTTTGATGAGCGCCAATAACGTCTCGATCCGTACCTGCAGCGAACCAGAGTAGGGCAGCTTTCCCCGTTCAGAGCTTTCCTGAAAAAGCCTATTGGCCGTTGCGGTGTTTGCTTGACGTTTCGAAGGATACGGCCAGTAATACATAGCCCTGCTCAACGGCCATCGCGCATAGGGCCCGGCCTATCTAATCTTCGTTTTCTTGATGTGTGCCAACAGCGTCCCTCATTTTCCCTTGGCGTTGCTAGGATTTTAGGATTTATCTCTGCAATTGCGTTTATGCGTAAAAGGAAAATCCAGGCATCGCCATCTTCACAGGACGTTGAATGACGCTGATATCCATTATTCTGTTTTCGTGGAGTCCAAAATACATGTAGCTGGAGCATCTAAAGATACTCGTTTCGTTTAGAGTTAGGAGAGCAACAGCCACCAATCCGTTTCATGTGAACACGTCTTCGTCGAATTTAGACACAGGCCATTTTTCCACAAGCGCTGTCGAATTATCCGCCTGTACGATGCCCTCTGCAAAGTAGAGTGATGTAAGTATCGACCGTCACTTATGAAATTATCGTAGAGTTCGCGAAGATATAGATTGAGAAGGAACATCCTGGTTGACCAGGATTTCGGTAACCGCTTCTGCCTTGACAGCATAGAAGGCCTTCCCCCACTCGACGGACATAACGCATAACGGCATCCTGTATTCTCCTGATATTTCAATGAATCCTGTAACAGTGTGGATGTGTTCCATTCTACTGGACTGTTGAAGAAGCTCTGCTAGCTCGCATTGCTATTTTTCATCTGATATTCTGCCAGTTCTCTTTAGGACGATGCATGTGGAAAATTTTCGGATTAGGGACAGCACGCAAACTGGGCATAGTTGCTTATACCGTCGGGATCTACGTTCGTATACAGCAGAACGATCTTGCTAGTTTTCCATGACGAGGGCACTTTGCGTTTCGTCAGGTGCCCCGCGAGGCTAGCCAGTGTTCTGATGATCCCTCGCAGTGGACGGCTCTTTAGATTTCTGGTCTAATCCTTTTGGGACAAGGCACCGCAACTGTCTTTTCTGACTTGTAAAACGCGAGGCTCCAACGGATGCCCTCCCAGTTTCAACTTCTTCGTCCAGAACTGCTGCACTTCTCTTACGTTTATTTTTTTAGCGTTTCTTGCGTTCAACTTTAAATAGAGACCTAGATATATCGATAGAGTTTGAAATGCTATCTACAAATTTAGAAATTAAAAGTGCTAAATGAGTTTGCCAGAAATGTTGAGAGTGCTCAAAGTCCATTTGCTTAAAGCAAAGAGAGATGGTACCAAAAGAAATTGCAGTTCTCGCTGCGACTGCGAGGGTCGCCGTGGCGTAGTGGCGAAGCTCTCTCTCCCTTTTCAGGCGAGGAATTAGGGTCTGTCCTCCTTGCCGGCCCCGCTCTTGCAAATATCGTCGATTTCCTCATACGGGAGCCAGTAGCGTCTCCATTCGTCCCAATCACGAACTAGAGTGGTCCAGTGAATCGTCCTCGCCTCAGGTACACAAGGTGCACCATTCCTTTCATTCAGAGCTCTCGTGAAGAAGTCTGACCATCTCGTTGGCGGCTGTCCTGGTGTTCGCTTGACGTCCCGAGGGATCTAGCTCGTAGCCGCCCTAGTCCAACGGTCGTCACTATTTCGCATAACGTGCCCGGCAGATCTGATTTTTGATTTTATTGCACAATCAACGGGATCCCTGAACTTCAATCCATCTCGGATGGATCTCGGAACTCCGGATTCACTTCTGCACTTACTTGTATAAGGGAATTCCGAGCGTAGTCCTTTCCAAAGCTCGATGAGTAATGCTGGCAGCATGTTCATCCCCTTTCGAATAGTTCAAATCTCTGAGGCGTACATCTATGCAGGAAGGACCGCAATGCCGAAAAGGTGAGCATGTTCTTTGTGCTCTTCACTACTCTCTCGATATTCTTAAATGCCCCCCCACGCGGCACGTTTCCCTCTGCACAGCTCCGGAGTGAGATCGCTCATCATGTTGACTTCCCGACCTAGATACACGTAGCTAGAGCATTCAGAGAATCCGTTCCGTTCAGCGAGGAAGGAGCATCAGGAATCATTTCGTTTCCCATGAACATCGTCTTCGTTAGGTTCAGTTGTAAGCCGATCTTTCCTCAAACACTGTCAAATTCGGCAAGCATTCGTTCCGTCTGCTCGATGTTCAGTGTTATGGGTCCGGGAACTTCTCCCCTAACACGGCGTCGCACACGCCGCACCCGCCGCTTATCACAGGATTGCGATGGAAGATTGGAGCGCGCAATTTGTGAGGTAGAGAGTCTTTTAATTATTTGAATTGGCTGGCCGCTCTTTTCGATTCCAATGCGATCTTGATCGTCGTTTATATAGGAGGAGTCATTTTAATTAATCAAGCCTAATAAACATGAAAACTAAAAAGAAACAGAAGAAAAAAACGATCAAATCCAATGAAAAAGCAAGTCAATCAACGAAAAATATCGCCTCCTATCGATTGGCGAGAGGCGGGGTGAGTACGGTAATTGCAGTGACATTTGCCGCATGCCGCAAAGGAGAATGCCGCGATAGGGGAGAAGTTCCGTTACCCTCAGTGTTATAGGTACGATGTCGTCTGCAAAGCAGAGGTGATATAAGTAGGGCCGTCGACCTTCACTCCCACGCCTTCCCATTCCATATGATACATGATGTTCTCAAGAGCGGAACTAAAAATTTGGCGAGATGGTATCGCCCTGTCGAACCCCTATCTTGATGATGACTTCTTAATCTTAATAGAATGGCGTGATCCCGGTGGTGAAGCTGTTGTGAAGCTCACGAAGCATCCTTATATGTTGAGCCTAGCTGGTTGGCCATGGCTTCGATAACCGGTTCTGTCTCAATGATATCAAAGGTCTTCCTCATGTTGATGAACGTGAACGACATAGCGGCATTTTATACTCTCGCGATACTTCAATGAGTCTGGTAAGAGTGTGGATATGATCGATTGGACTGAACCCTCTCTGAAATCCTGCATGCTCGCATGGCTGTTCTTCATCTAATAGTCACTGTGCATTCCGACATGTACGGCGTGAAAAGCCTAGACAGAGCTCTGACGATTACCGCACTTATTCCGAAGAAATTCCCTCATATTCATTCTCTAACGCTCTTCTATATTGAAATACACTGAAAAGTAGAATCGTCATGTAACATAGATACGCGAAAAAACTCAACATTGATGAAACAGTCCAAAAACGATAGAGGAAACGTTTATGTATTTATTTGTTCTTGAATCGATCAAGTGTTTTGTCTCATGGTTGTCGGGAGACAGCATGTATAATGCTCGTATTTTGCGAACAACATATCTGTCTAGTCACCTTTCGGATTGTTTCATCGAGAATGAGTTTTTCAACTTATCTATTTCGAGTGATGTGAGTTTGCTCCTCGCCCTCATTCCACTTCCGCGAAGCGTGCTTTCTTACCAACAGAAGCCTTGACAGCAATTCCTATATTTTAAAGATTTTTACAACACTTCCAATATTTAGTCCTCATCTTAGTTTTCGCTGACGCTTGTTCTTCTTATACAAGGCGGAATGGTTCTTCACATAAGTTCTGTGAGTCTTGTCTCTTCCCGAGCTTGAACATAAGATTCACGCGGGGGAATCACTTGAAACAGATACGCATGTAAGCTCCATCATTGATGAAACAATTCAAAAAATGAGTGAAGCTGATGTTGTTAAGGAAATTCGCACCTTATACTGCTTTCGCTCCACAACCGTGCATAAAACATAAACGATTCGAGACCACGCAAATACATGGACGGTATCTCTACATATTTTTGGTTGTTCTGTAGATGTTGAGCCCTCACGTACCCATGTTCCAAGACAATTTCACTTGGATGTGTGTGCTTTAATGTTGAATATAAAAGAACGTTAGAGAAGTAACATGGAGAGAATTTTTCAATCAAGTGCGCTGATCGCAAATGATAGCCGGAACAAAGCCCTAATTAGAAGTAGTAAAAAACGATTCAAGAACTTTTGTTCGAACAAAAGCCCGTTTCGCAATAAAGGGGACGACGCTGGGGAAGGAGCAAATATTGCTCGCAACTTTCTATGCTTGGAGCAATCAGGCGTTGACAGAACTTATTGACACGCAGACTCACTTAGCAGTTTTGACTTCTAAACCTGTAACTAGCATCTCAAACTCTGTCGATAAACCTATTCAAAATTCCTTGGGAAACTGAAACCTGCTATTAGATGATAATTGCCGGTAGCTTGCGCGATTCCACGCTGCGTATCAGCTCGAGATACATCCTTTGGTTACTTTCGGACTCTCCACTTTCCTAGCGCTGTTGTGAAAATGTTTGACGAGTCGATGTTATCAATAACGAATTCCTCCAATAAACTGGCAACAAGTGAAATAGTGAGTGAAATAGTCTCAGTTGATGACGGTCTTAGGCCTTCGTTTCCGAGCATCGTAGCATCTTTCCGCTCACTGTTGAACAGAATCCAGCATGGAGACGATGGTCCGTATTCAATCAGGCAACACTTTCAGTTGAAGGTGACATTACTATTTTGTTATGGAACTGTCCACCAGGTATCGTGGCTCATACGTTCAAATTAAAGAGCTTCCACTACCGCAAGTTAAGATGGATAATGCGGGTCGGAACGATAAACTCCGCAGTCTTTCACCTTGCTCATTGCATTCTCTTCCATCAGTTTCGAAATGTAGCCCTTCAGCCGTTCTTTTAAGGCGAAATTGTGAAGTCGAAATTACCGACAATGACCATGAATGAAGTGTGGTCCCATTTCCAGGTCCTTTACTCTCCAGGTTACATGAACGCTTCAGTTCCTCTTCTCCGTAGCTTGATGTAGGCAGCAAAGATTGTTAGGGCTAGGTTCGAAACACGTGTTCCTGATCGCAAAGGCTGCATTCATAGTCAGCCGGCATGCGCGCCGACGTGCCGGCGGGCGGAGGCAGTGCTAGGGGGGGGGAGGAGGGAGGCAGACGGTCGGTCAGCCTCTTTTAAGGGCTGTAAACCAAGAGAGACAAGATCAAAAACCATTTGCCCAAGCCCCTGGTTGCTTGGTTTTTAATCTTGTTCTTCCTTATTTTCAGCCCTTCGAAAGGGCTGACGGACCGTCTGCCTCCCTCCTCCCCCTCGCACTGCCTCGGCACGCCGGCACGCCAGCCGGCGGACTATGAAAGCAGCCAAACATCCGATTCCGGTTGTCAAGCTTTCGTACCAATCGATGTTCATGGCCAATTGCGTATTGACAAGGCCACCTAGGTCACCGATGCCTATGCTGTCGCGTGTCTCGGGAAGGAGCTCTTCTCCATTCCCGAAAACAGCGTGCAATCAGCCATGCCTTCTCGTCTCGGTCAGTCCTATGATGTCGTACGGGATCTTCCCACAATGCATCATCAGATCTTCGATACACGCTTGCAAGCGTTCGTGCATTGAAGTATGGATCGCTTAGCAGTCGTTTTTTTGACAGCCTACTTCGGCCCTTGAATTACTACTTTGTTTTGCGTTTACTTACATTTAGTAAAATCCAACTGTTCTAACACTGCAGTCAAACTCTAAGATATCGGTTGGATTCAAATATTACATTGAAGATGTATTATGTCTCTCACGCTGGGTGGACTTTAATGGTAACAAAGTAGCTATGCTTCCAAAATTCTGGCTTTTTTTTCGAGCATGAAGACATACCGTCATGTAAAATATTGTGTCGACGTCAGCAGTAATCATACTTACGATGAATACTCCTGAATAGAATATATTGATTATTCATAACCAATCGGTTCGCCCGTCACAAATTTTTCAAGTGATGATAATACCATTAGCCGATGTCGTTACCAATGAGCCATTTTCTTCGCGGAGATATCATTAGATGGGAATTCCAGATTACTGCCGGTCGGTTAAGTTTTGTCACAAATGATATCGACCAAAGAGGATCTTCCTTGAGTCACAAACCTTGCTCGTTAGCGGTCGTGAACTAATTTTAAGAAACGAACAACATCTTCTCATCGTAGTCCCGCTAGTGTGTCCCTATTACTGCACTTACCACTCACTTTTTTCGCCCTACTCTACCTTCCCGTCTTAACGAATGAAACATACTGAACAGGCAGAGCTACATCGCAAATGCCGGAGACGACGGGATTTCGATCGATAGGTGGCTTCTCTCAGGCCAGTTATCTTCGCTTATAAGTTACGATCGGTTCCTGACCGAGTACCTACGATTCCATGATATCTTACATCACCTATGAAAATGCTGAGATTCCACTCTTAATACTAAAAGTTTCTATTCTAACAAAATTGAACTCCTCAGGTCCACGGTAACAAGAGTTAAGAACATCCGTTAAACCACTGATTTCGCGCACGCCCCGCCCCCTGTGGGCGGAGTCTGGTGCTGCTACCTGCCATGAGTGTTTACATCCCCGTACTCATACCAAATTTTAGCGCTCTAGATTCACTGGAAGAGGAGTCAATAATTTAATTTGCGGTCAAAAGCTTCTATCGCGCACGCCTCGCCCCCTGTGGGTAGAGTCGTGTCGTGCTACCTGCAGTGAGTGTTCACATCCTGTCCCCTGTACTCCTACCAAATTTCAGCGCTCTAGCTCAACGTAAGGAGGAGTTATGATTCTTCGGTCAAACACACACACCGACACACACACATGCACAAACACACCGACAAACCAACAACACACTTAGCGAATTATATATGGTTGGATGACCAAATATATACAGATCGATCGGATGCTTTAGATTCAGCTGAAGCTGAGTGTGTTGCCCTGATAGCCTAGTAGATAAGAGAGGGGTGCTTGAAAACATACTCATAGGATTGGAACCTTTTTTCGAGCGGGTTTTCACCCATAACACACAGCCCTTATATAGTGGCAATGTGTTCATATCTACAGGAACTCAAAGTAGTTTCGAAATGAGATACTGCTGAATAGTCACAGCGGAAGAGCTGAACCATCGATTCATACTGTACAGAGCCTCCGAACGGCGTGCTCCTTGGATTGCACTTGTAAGAATCTCTACTCCTACCCTGATCACCAACACGTTTGACCATAGTGCGTATGATGTGCTCAGATAGAGTCCTCTCGTCAGGGCACGATCCACTAGCGATGCTTTGAGGGCACATATTGTAGAAGACGACATGATATTTAGAATCTGAACAAAGATTGAAAGTTTGAATTTCTACTGTAAAAATATCATTCATTTTCGAATTACGAAGTTCTGGTGAAGAGATTTTGAATTTTCTCATGCAGAAATGAGAGTTTATTTTGGCTAAAACCAGAAGTCAATTCGCTTGTGATGCTGAAACTACAGCACGACCATAGGGAATGCCACATGATTTTGGTTACCTTTTCTTTATTTTGCTTGACTTCGAACAATGACAGATGTGGTGTAGTGATAAGCGTTCTATCATACGCATGAATCGCTGTATAAGCCAAATATGCATTCAAACACTTTTATAATCTTCAGTGGAAGTTGAATGGTATCCTTTGGTTAACGTCAGAGACGTCATTCTTCTATTCTTCAATTTTGCGTATCTACAATACGCTATCAGCGGACTTGATCAAGACAATCTTTCAACTATAACTTCTCTTCCTTTCCTCCCTCTTCCTCCACCTTCTCCCGAATCTCCCCTTTAAATTTCAAAAGCAGCCTACTCTAACCGTTCCTCCATCTCCAATTTAGATTCCAAAGATGATTTGAATTCACCGTCACAGATCTCATGTAGGATTGGATAATTCACTACATTTCGGCTGATTCACCTGCTAGCTTTCTTTTATAATTATTACCAACCAACCTTGATTCTCTATGATCGTACCAAGTGGCTCTTGCTTATCTGGCACTATTATTCCAAGCCTCGGGCCCGGGATGATTTGGAACCAGTCGATTAGAAAGTGCGCCACATCTGCTCTTTCTTCTAGTACTGTTATGTTAGACTGAAAATAGAGTAGTTCTATTCTCTCCAAAAGTCAACTATAAACAAATTTAGCATTTTAGTTACTGGTAAGATGCAACCGGGCCTGAGTAGGCCGCATATGACTTCGTGCGTCTCATAAAAAGCTCTGGAAGGAAGCATTGGAGGTTTGAAACCATTACTGCTTGTGAGGATGGGAGTTTAGGGCTTGCTGAAGGAGTTTGATCTGATGAGCGATAAGCGGAGAAGTGCTCTACCGATGAGTCTCGGTAAATACATACACGAAGTATTAGCCACAGCACTAAAAATTCTTCTTTCTTGACTAGTCCTCCTTTCCGCTCCTTCTTTGTTACAAAAACAAAAACATTGGGAGTCAACGAATAAACAGAATGAACCTGGTGATAATGATACTGAATAAAATTCGCAATTGTTGCACTGCCAATGCCAATAATAAGCACATCCGCAGGAGTGCTTGTGAGCAGTGAAAGGCCTCTACCGAGAAGAGCAGCTTCTAAAAAAAACGGCAATCGTGATGAACCCTTATTATTGAATTGCAGTTTCACACCTTTGCAATACGATCACACCGATGGAACTCTTACTCATCCTGACCTTACGGATAACGAACTCACCCATTATCGCATATTCCAATGTATTTTTGGCAAACTGACTTCGATTCAGCAGCCATCGTTTAGAGTCGGTCTTGCTCCGCACTCTCCCTGAAATTAACTAAATCAAATTGAGAGCGCTTATAGCTTTACTTAGAGAAACGGTTCTCTTAAAGGATGAAAATTCCTAAAGTTAGTCGTTCCTGTTTTGGAATGCGTCTCGGCTTCCAGTTTCCACACAAAATCGTAGTGACGTTTTGAATGCCTACATGGCCTGTACATATAATGAGCTGCTGTGGTGGCTTTATCCTCTCAGACGAGTCTAGTACCATTCAAGCCCCGTGTGTATGCAATAATGATTTGAACCCATATGACTGCCTACGACCACCACAAAGCATTTTCTGCCATAACTTCAAGGAAAAGACACTAATCTATTTGGGAATATGAAATTTGGCTGAGACAACCAAATAGCTTTATTTGTAGGAAGTCCAGTTAGGTATATGGTGAATTACGTATCGAAAATACGTTTCGCTTACTGCAAGTATTTACTGCCTCATACTTAGACTACGCGAACAGTAAACTTCACTTAAAATTTTCTATCCGTCTATCATGAAACAGAATGTGAGCTTTCGATGTTGGAGAGCAAAGTTCAGTAAGAAGGAATTAGGCGATAAGTATGTGAGTGGAAATCGAAGGATTTCATTCACAAAGCCCGCTCCACAGCTGCTGAATTCACACATGGAAAAATTCTCAATCAGACTTTGAGAAAAGACCATTGAAAAGTAGGTGAACGGTAGTGCTTGGGTCACACCCTTGAAAGAATGTTGTCCATGATGACGCAGCTTTCGCTCAGTGAAGAAACATTGGTAAGAGGAGTGCAGATGATGCTTGTAAGTCAGAGCAAGGAAAATCATGTGTACCGCGGTTCGCATGGAAGACGCTCAAGAAGGATTAACCATGCTAAGCGCTCAATTATGACTCCCTTTAAGAAGCTCATTGGTTTACTTACTTGAGGGCAAAAGTAGCATGGCGGATGCCTTCACTTGCTTCGTTTCTTTGTCAATCAGAATTCGTTCCAAAGGAAGGCTAAATTAGTAGAGAATTGTCGACAAAAAGAGATGTTTCAAGGTGACCATGAGCAACAAATAAAGCTTTCACTTACAACAAAAGCCCACTATATAAGACATCCTTCACCACGAAGCAGCTACCATCAATACACTGCTCGGCCCTTAAATCTGCTGCTTTGACTTCTTCGTGATCAAAGTGCTCAATTTCTTCAATTTAACTATGTCCTAGGTGCTGCTGTGAGGATGGGCGGGACGAAGGAGCATATTAGAACTGTTCAAGGAGGTCAAGGTATTGGCAAATTGCTCTTCACTAATTCTATCAGCAAAAAAAAAGCGATAAAAACTGAAACTCTCTGCGCAGTGAACATATCTGACCTATAACACACATGTCGCCCTGTTCATGGTCCCAGTTTTCATTCTGCATGTGAATCTATTTTATGAGGACTGATAAGCTGTTCACGTTTCTGCTCAGCTTTTCTTTTGTTCTCTGCCGAAAGGATCCAACACTTAAGAAGTGGAGAGTAGTTAGTTTTTTTCAGAACAGACCATATCAATACTTTTCCTGGTATCCCTTTGACACCCCTCTTTCTCCCGAATCCTCTTGTACCTAAACTTGTCGACAGTGTCTAGAGACGGGATGCCCTATGCTCTAGTACTTATTGCCTAAAGTTTTCTCAGTACTAGATCACATTAGTGAGATTACTGTTAATCTTGTGTTTACGTCATCGTATTCTATTACATGTGTAGCACATTTAAGTGTACGCAAAGTCAAGGACTTCGCACTGCCTCCGAGCGCTTTCGGTTTCTGAACAGTTCTGATTCTAATGGAATACCATTGAAGTAGTAGAACTCTGAGAATCTCCCGCATCAACCGCAGGTAAGCCTTTATAGACCCCGTAAAAATGGTGACAGGACGAGTAAATGACTATGAATGTATAGGGCGAGGCATGAGGGCGGCAAGGTGAAAAGGGAGAAGGTAAACCAGTGAAAATGCAGTTGGGGTGGGGGCACGCATGACAGTGTTAATATGACAAGAAATTCGCATGGTGTTACTTGTTAGTCCGTGTTATACTGGCACGTATCGGAAACGACAGGGAAGATGGCGAACGGCCATCTGTGCGCTACTACGCGGATCTAGCTTGTGGGATGCAGGTTTTTGACTCGGCCTCAGAAGGGAGGAGCGTCAGGGTGGGAAAGATGAGCGCAGAAGCTAACAATTAGTTCACCCCGGTGCTCCCTCCCACATTAGGCTTAGTTAAAAGATTACATGCTCTGGTATAAGACGGAATAACACGTAAATCCGTGTTCATTCCTTGCTATACCGCTATACCGAAACTGTTATATGTGCCCACCCCGCCCCGAACTACATTTTCACCGGCAAACCCACTGATGGGTTTCATGACCCGTCGCTATTTCCCGTTACATTGTTCTACAGTCTTTCCTTCATCAAGCTGTTAAACCTTACTGCAAAAAGTTTACTCAGGTTGTGAGCAAGAAGGCTCACTATTGAACTCACACAATCCTTTCTTGGCCATATTTCGATATTGCTAAATTCAAAAAATCCTTTTTAGATAGGATTGTCTCTGGTTCCCCTATATGAAGCAGATTGTTAATGAAATAAATGGATAGCGATGTTGAAATGACCTGAAAACAGTCATGTTTGCAAAAGTAGGCAATTGCGTAGAAAATAAACCCATCTCATCAATAAACTTCAACTGATGGTAGAGGATGTACTCGAGCCCATCAAGCAAAGGCTGAATTTGCACAAAAATAGTAAAATCATTATGAGCTTACCAGTAAAATAAAGGCATAGTATACACGTGGCCGCTTAAGACGGATAGTCATTCAGAAATGAAGATTCTCATTTTCGTAAGAGTGATAGCAGCGGCTCCATAAGCAAAAATTCCGACCATGATAAGATAGGTGAGACTGATATAGTAGTAGAAGGTCTTGGGCCTGGATTCGGTATGGTACTATCGAAATTGTGACCGATGTTATCTCTATCTCTCTAATCATTGTCCAGAATTCAGCGACGTCACCCCATATCCGAATAAAGAAACGAGGCGAATCAGGCTATCATTTGGTCATCTGGAGCTTTCAGGGTAGAATTTTGCTTTGAAAAAAATAACAATTCACAAATACTGGTAAGGAAATTCTAATGAAAGTTCTCGAGACTTTCTGCCCCCTTCTGGTGACGCAATACCCGGTGACCGCCGTTTTTCCTTGGAGTAAAGGATAAATAATAAAGGCTTTGACGTTATTCAATTCCTCTTGGGATGCGCTGCGCATTCAACTTGAATTCAGAATCGTAGTGGCAATTCGAATGCGTGTGCAGCCTGTGCGACTTGTGGTGGCCAGCAGAAGTACAGTCGTGTTTTTATCCTTTCAACCAATTCGGTACCAATCCGAGCCCTGAAAAATGGAAGGTTTAGCTGGCCAGATATCGATCCAGGAGTCGATCCCATATTGTGAGTATGTAGTGCGCTGCTTGCCTCTTCATCAGTTCAGTCTTTTTCCCAAGAAATTTTTTTTCAAAAATAAATCACATATCATGTTTACAGATGGGGTGCTTAAATAATTCACCCATTTCATCCTTCCATCAGTCGGTATTCATCATCCGGTCTATCGAATTTTTTTCTTGAGTGGCGATTTTTTTTTGTGATCTCAGTGTACATACAAGGCCTGCTGTGTGGTCGGCATATACCGCTCGCATTGCTCGTTTTTCTTCCCTGCTCCTAATCTCTTGTTTTTCTTAATAGGCTATTCTTTTCAAACCAAGTAATTTTGCAAATCTAAGCAATTCTTTCTCGAAGGTAGGGTCGAATTATAAAAAGCGTATTTGGAACTTTGAATCGAGGAGATTACTGAGCCTATTAGGACGCTGTTAAATCCATGCCTGCACTCAGTGCCAATGAGTCTGCTCTCATCAAATCAGTCAATGAAACCATCTCATGTTGTTGGTTTCGAATCATTAAAAAATTCCCGTGCACAATTTTGAAACATTTCTTAAAGAAGTCTCTCGTACAAATTTCGTTAAATATGCCCGTGTTTTTGGGAAAATTTTCCTCTTTATTATGACGATTGGAGTCGCTCTTTGCGTTCAAAAGCTCGTGCTTAACCCGGAAGCTTAAAATGTATAGCAAAACCGTCAAATAAAGAAGGTCATCTAGAAAAGGGTAGGTTTGGATTGGTGAGGTTCACTACAGAATTTTCATTTTCACCGGTATTTGCAGGTTTTCAATTGGGTTTTCCGAATAAAATTATTTTTAGGTTCGACGTCACTTCAGCCACGGAACTCATCCGTCGAGGAGGCGAATTTGGATTGGCTTGTCGATTCTTTGAGAAATCGCTGATATCTGTCGCTTTTGTATGATTTATAAGGTGAAGGTATTTGTTTCGGCTTCCCCGCCAGCCCAATCCTCTATTCTACTGCTGACAGCAGTCTGCACGGTTTCCTTAGTCTCGCACGATGTTTTTGAATGGTATTATACTTTGAGGCAAAGCAATTCTTAAGCTAGCTTGGAATATTCAGCAACCGGGGACTCGGATCAACATCTTCCTAGTGAAGCTGTTCTGAACAGCTTCAAGTTTCCGATGTTACTTTTAGAATGTGGAAAGTGACTAGCTTCAACTTTCCTGATTTACCTTTAGAATGTGGAAAGTAAATAGTAGTCCCGTATTCCAGTTTAAGGAGTAAGTGGAGCCGCCGCTCTGCCTTACTCAATAATGATGAACAATGTTTGGAAATATAATAGTAATTTGGTACCAACTATGAACCCTATGTCCCTGATTTCACTGTTCACGCAGAACTTGTTGCCATCAATGTGGTAATCGAAAGGGATGAGACTAGAGCCAATGTGAAGTACCGACGTATTCTCTATGGCTAGGGGAGGACCCCACTTCCTAGATCAAGTGCTTACAATGTTGATTGCCTCTTGAACTTCTGCTGACTCATCTGAGGTGGAGGCTGATTTTAAATCTCCAAATCATCAACAAACGCTTTAAAGATAACACCTAGACTAGGGAGCTCATATATGTAAATACCAGTCGGATCGCCCAGCTATCGCCGGGCTCTCCTCCTTCTTATGAAATGCCCGGCTACGCCGGGCATCCTCCTTTTCATATAAAGTCGGATCGCTGGCCAACGCCAGGCTATCCACCTTGCTGTGTCAAACACCCCATCCCGAGAAATGTTAAACTGAAGAATTTTTTCCCTTTTTCAAAGTTATTAAATTTTAAGTTTTTTTCCGCTGTTCAGCTAAATTTAAGTTTTTCCGGTGTTCAGCAGA